ATTTTTAGTAGAGACGGGGTTTCACTGTGTTAGCCAGGATGGTCTCGATCTCCTGACCTCGTGATCCGCCTGCCTCAGCCTCCCAAAGTGCTGGGATTACAAGTGTGAGCCACCGCGCCCATTTTTTGTATTTTTAGTAGAGACAGGGTTTCACCATGTTGGCCAGGCTGGTCTTGAACTCCCGACCTCGTGATTCACCTGCCTCGGCCTCCCGAAGGGCTGAGATTACAGGCGTGAGCCACCACCACTGTGATTTTCTAAAGCCCGCTCAGAAACGTACCAGTTCCCCTATCCTTGGAACTGGTGACTGTGTTTTCCAGATAGGTCAATTTGGGCACGTGGGGAGGTTTGCTGGCCTTTCTTCCCTAGAACAAGACAGCCCTGCGTCTGGAGAGGTCAGAAACTCCAGCAAACCAATATTCCCTTCCAGTTTCTTATTTAGTTATTTATCTACTACTACCTGGCTGGACCAAAGGTTCTGGTGGTCAAAAGTACAAAGACATTGAAATTAGGGTCAAGAGACTGAAAAAGGCAGGGGCTGCAGGCTCTTGTCTTAGCAGGCCAGACAGGTGATAAAGAGGCAGTGGGTGACCCAGGTGGGCCTGGAGGTGCCACACTCTTCATAAGGGAAGGCGGCTCTGGCTTCAGGCAGTTCCAGGCAGCCCCTGCCTCAAGGGAGCACACAGCTATGGTGCTGCCAGATCTGATTTCTCAAGGGATGGCAGGATGGAGATTTACTGATTTTCAAATATGGAAAGCCAACTTAATTTTCATGAAGCTTTAGGGACGGGCGCGGTGGCTCACACCTATAAATTCTAGCACTTTGGGAGGCCAAAGCGGGTGTTTGAGACCAGGAGTTGGAGACCAGCCTGGGCAACACGGTGAAACCTACTATCTACTAAAATAAAAAGAAAATTAGCCAGGCATGGTAGCACAAGCCTGTAATCCCAGCTACTCAGGAGGCTGAGGCAGAAGAATTGCTTGAACCCAGGAGGTAGAGGTTGCAGTGAGTTGAGATCGCACCGCTGCACGCCAGCCTGGGTGACAGGAGCGAGACTCTGCCTCAAAAAAAAAAACAAAAAACCAAAAACACAAAAAAACAAAAAACAAAAAGGAGCTGTAGGTTTGAATTTCTGAGGGCGTTTTCCTTGGGTGGATGGAGACAACCGTGAGGACCCGTGGGGGACACTGGGGACCGGCTCGGAACATTCTGTGTTTTGACCTGGGTGGTGACACGGGTGTGTGCAGTTTGGGAGCATTTCACGGAGGCGTACACATATCATCTGCACGTTTCCTCTCAAATAAAAAGGTCAAAACAGAAACAGACACCAGCAACAGGAAACGATGGCACACAGCACCATCTGGATTTGGTGGATGGACCTAGGTTACAACTTTTTTGGTTTTTTTGCCTTTTGAAGAGATGGGGTCTCACTGTATTGCCCAGGCTGGAGTGCAACAGCTACTCTCAGGTGTGATCATAGCACACTGCAGCCTTGAACTCCTGGGCTCAAGCGATCCTCCCGCCTCAGCCTCCCGAGGAGCTAGGACTGCAGGTGTGTGTTCCCCATACCTGGTTAAGTTACAATATTTGAAATTAAACAGCAAAGGGAGTTAGGCTGTAGACATGGAAGGGCAGTTCCCAAGGTCCTGGTGGGATTAATGTGAAGTCAGAAATCCATTTTGGAGGGCGGGCAAGGTGGTTCATGTCTGTAATCCCAGCACTTTTGGAGGCCGTGGCGGGCAGGCCACTTGAGGCCAGGAGTTCGAGACCAGCCTTGCCAACATGGTGGAACCCCGTCTCTACTAAAAAATATAAAAATTGGTCAGGGATGGTGGCGCATGTCTGTAGTCTCAGCTACTTGGGAGGCTGAGGCAGGAAAATCGCTTGAACCCAGGAGGCATAGATTGTAGTGAGCCAAGACCACGCCACTGCACTCCAGCCTAGGCAACAGAGCGAGACTCCATCAGACTCCATCTCAAAACAAAACAAAACAAACCAAAACAAACAAACAAAATCCAGTTTGGAGATTTCCAGCAGCCAAAACAAAATGGGAAACACGGCCATTTATATAATGTATGAGGGGGGTAAGAAACATACATCCAAACAATCTTCCTGGGCATACGAGGCTGACAGAACCCTCTCCTGTGTGGTTCTCGCCCCTGGGTGAGGAGAGGGTCTGATTTCTTTTTTTTTTTTTTTTTTTTTTTGAGACGGAGTCTCGCTGTGCTCCCAGGCTGGAGTGCAGTGGCGTGATCTCGGCTCACTGCAAGCTCCGCCTCCCGGGTTCACGCCATTCTCCCGCCTCAGCCTCCCAAGTAGCTGAGACTACAGGTGCCTGGCTAGTTTTTTGTATTTTTAGTAGAGACGGGGTTTCACCATGTTAGCCAGGATAGTCTCGATCTCCTGACCTCGTGATCCACCCGCCTCGGCCTCCCAAAGTGCTGGGATTACAGGCTTGAGCCACCGCGCCCGGCCGAGGGTCTGATTTCTATGTCTCTGGCTTAGTTTATGTCTCTTGGCTTGGTACGCTGGGAAAAGAAACTTGCTCTCCTCTGCTGAGTCTTCTCCTTGGCACAGAGGCCTCCGGGCCCTGCCCAGCCCTCCTACCCCTTGCCTGGAATGTGAACAAACCTGCTGGAGAAACAAAAACATGACCCAGTGCTTGGCCAAGGCCCCAGGTTGGGCAGGAGAGGCTGGCAGGCCACGGGCACTCACCATGCATGTCCATCATCCCTGGGGAGGAACTGTTCTCCGGAGTGGTCACCTCTGAGCCACACTTCTCGTCCTTGCCTTTTTTCTTATTCTTGTTTTTCTGCAGGGGAGAATGGAGCAGAAACCAAGTCACCAGATCGCATGTGTGTGCACGTGCTCTGAGCCCCTGGGGAGTGGTGTGAATATTTTATTCCGTGGAAGCCTCCTGGAGCCCCCAGGCCTCCGGAGGGTTTTCCTGGGCCTGCATTTGAACGCGTCCTATTAGGGACTGGCCTCTGGATCTCGCCCACTGTGGAATCAAAGAGCCCCACAGAGGGGAGGGTTCTGAGGCTGGCCCAGCTCCGGCACCCTGGGAAATAAGCCTGCCTGTTTCTGGGACTGGCAGCAGCAGTGTGGAAACGCCCCGGCTGGCAGGACCTGCCTCCTCTTTTAGGGAGAGTATCTGGGGAAGAGGCCGCCATCAGCCCAGAGCAGGTACAAAGTAATGCCAGGTGACCCAGAGGTCACTCATTTGCGCCAGCTGCAGGCCCCCTGGGGCAGCCTTTCTCAAAGTGTACTCTGCCGACCTCCAGCACAAATGTGCAGCAGGAGTTAGGAGGGAAGACCCTGGGAGAAAGGAGGGAGGGTGGGGATGCTTTTTGTGCCATTCCTTTTTTTTTTTTTTTGAGACAGAATCTCGCTCTGTCACCCAGGCTAGAGTGCAGTGGTGCGACCATGGCTCACTGCAACCTCCAACTCCCGGATTCAAGCGATTCTTTTGCCTCACCACCACACCAGGCTAATTTTTGTATTTTTAGTGGAGACGGGTTTCACCAATATTTTGGCCAGGCTGGTCTTGAACTCCTGACCTCGTGATCTGCTGCCTCTGCCTCCCAAAGTCCTGGATTATAGGCGTGAGCCACCATGCCCGGTCATTCCATTTTTTTTTTTTTTTTTTTTT